AATCATTGACTTAGGATAAAATCAGAATGACACGTAATCTATAACACGGGGAGTATAATCATGTACTTTATTATTCTATTCTAGACAAATTTAACCTGAAAAAAAAAAGGAACATATCCTTTTTCATTGGTTGCATCTAAATGGGTCACTTGAGCTACTAATTTGCATTTCAGTTAAGGTTTGAGTTTGGCGTTTCATAGGAAAATATAAAACTTAGTTTCATCACTTTTAAAGGGCATGAAGTTTTGATCTATGGATGCCTACTAGGCTTGGTAATTCCCCCGCTGGACGCGGGGATCCATCCCTATGGGGTTGGGGTTGGGTAAATTTTGTACCAGCGAGGGATTGGGGGCGGGGCCCCAGTCATTTCCACACTCAAGGGGGGGATTCACTCGTGGGGTACCTCATGGGGTCCCGAATATATATTATTTGTATAAATATGATATTTAGGGCCTAATAGCCCACTTATAGACCTAACAAACCCTAAATCCTTCTCCATTCCTCCAGCCGCCGCTCACTTCACCAGTTGTCCAGTTGCTAGCGTCACCCTGGTGCCCCACGCCCAGTTCAGCCGGTGGCGTGACAACCTTCGTCGGCGCTCAACGCGCAGCTACTACCAGGGTCCAGTCGGCGGCGTGGCACCCGTCGCCGGCGCCCAACGTGCAGCCGCTAGGTTCCAGTCGATGGTGCGGCGCCCTTCGCCAACGTCCCACATGCATTTGCCGTCCTCGATGCTTCCAAGGATCCAGTCGGCAGTGGCTCGGCACGATGCCCCATCACATCCTCATCCACACTGGCTCTTCATCCTCAACGTTGTCAAGCCGTCGCCGTCTCAGCTCTGAGAAGACACTGCTGCAGTTGACATCATTGCCGCCGGACAGATCTGAGCCATGTGAGTTTGATTTTTCTGGAGTATCGACTCCCTACGGGGCTCCACACGTTCGGGGGCGGGGAGATACGCCCCGCTCTCCATTGCAGGGTCAGGGCCAGGGGAAGAGTTCGTTGGTCGGGGGCAGGGACGTTCTTGTCCAACCCGGCCCCCACCCCGCCCCGTTGCCAAGCCTAATGGCCACAACATAAACTGACCACGGGAAGACGGTAACACACACCAGGCACCATCGACCCAAAGTTGCCGCTCCCTAGGCCAGATTCAGGCGCGCATGCCCTCATTGCCGTGGCACCATCGCGTCGCCATCTCGCCATGCACGCCGCGAGAGACAGAGCCTCACTAAACTTGGGCACCACCACCATCATCTTGGCTCAACGTGCGGTTGACGGATAGCCTGCTCCGGCAGGCAGCGAGGTGGAGGGAAAGGGGAAGAGGGGGGCGGGCGGGCGGTGGCTATGGTTTTGCCCCGAACTGCCCGCGTAGGGCGAGGTCTGCCTAACTGATTGAGGGATTTAGTATGGACCATGGTGGGCAATAATGGGTCTGCTTGTGTTTTTTTATTATTACCAGTAATATGCCCGTGCTAACGCTATATATGGAGATATTTGGTAATGTTAATATATTTTGAAGAAAATATTCTTTAACCGAAGAAAATTGTTATGTTAAGCAAACTTCTAAAGCATGATAAAGATGATTCTATATTCTCTTCTTCCCTAAATTTTAAGAGAAGAATCAGAATCAACCCTCCTTGTTTTTGCACAATAATCACCCTCCTTGTTACCAAACTTTAAGAGAAGATTGAAACTTCCATGTGCAACATTTGCCAATAATGCTGAAAAACAAAGGCATTCAAAACCTGAAGATAATTACTGTCATAAGCAAGGGAAAGACGGTTGGTTTACTGACAAAACCTCCAAAAAAAAGAGAAGCTCAGGTGATGCATTAGTAATAAAAGTATTTACTGTTTACCAATGTACTACCTCTGTTCATAATGTAAGGCGTTTTGACTTTTTATTACAAGTATTATGGAATTATCATTTACTTTGTTTGTGACTTACTTTATTATAAAAATAACTTTAAGCATGACTTATCATTTTTTATATTTGCACTAAATTTTTGCCCGCCGCCGCTCCGCCCGCCACCGCCTCTCCGTGCCGGCGCCTGCCCGAAGAGAGAAGAGAGAAAAGAGAAGAAAAAAAGAGAGGAAAAAATGTGCAGCTGACATGTGGGCCCCACGTATTTTTTTTAAATTTTTTTTTCTGACTAGGATGCCACGTCAGCGAAACCATCCATGTATACTGCCGAGGGACCTCCGGTGAACGGTTTGCATAAGTTTAGGGGTACACATTTCTAGTTTTTCGGTTAAGGGACTTCAAAAAATCTCGCTGTTAAGTTAAGGGACCTCTGGTGAACTTATTCCTTTAAAAAAAGCCCCCATAGCCAGGCCTGGCCCAGCGCGTGCGCACGTCTCACGTCTCTCCCTCATTTCCTTTCCTCTCCTCATCGAATAAGCTATGGTCTTTTTGGTTGGAGGGAGTTGGTGATGGGGAATGGGAGTTTATAATATATGAAAGTTTAAGTCTGTAGTTTGGTTGGAAGACTTGAAAATTCGAGGGGGTTTGGGATGAGGAATTAAGGAGTCCAACTCTCACCAATCTTTTACCTGGGGGAGGCCTGTTAATTCGTGAGACTTGAAGGGAATTTGATGTGAAACCAAACAAGGGATGGGGACTAAAAATGTAACTCGCATGATCAATCCCACCATCAACTCCCTCCTTCAAATGGAATTCGATGTGAAACCAAACAAGGGATGGGGACTAAAAATGTAACTCCCGTGACCAATCTCACTATTAACTCCCTCCTTCAAACTCCGATTCCTCTTGCCAAACAGGCTAGGGTTTGGGGCTGTCGCCGTGCCCTCCTCCACCACCACCGGTAGTGAGTGCCGGCCGTGTCCTCTGCCGGTCGCCCTCCGTCTCCTCCGTCGGCCACCTCTCTACTACGCCGGTTGTCCCATTCCCCTTCTTCCTCTCTTCCGGTAAGTGCAAACCTCTCTTCCCCTTCCCCTTTCCTCCTCAATTTTTCTCCTCCTCCTCTTGATTTACTGTCATGTGAGCATCTTCCAGATCTACTAAAAGCTTATGCATTTCGTGGGTTGATTTGTGTGGATTGAAATGCACTGTTGATCTCCTAAATTTCTAGTTGTTTATTTGGTATGATTAGTTATTGTTCCCCCCAGATCTAGTAACTTTTAAGTTTGCTACACATGGATATTTGTTGTCTCATGGATTGTGTTGAGTGTCAGAGAAAAATTTTTGGTGCCTACTTATTTTTTCCATGGTCGATGATGATATGCTACTGGAGGTAGCATCATTTGGATGTGGCAACTGTGGCATACACTTAAGATAAATTTCAATGTACTAGTTTTTGGGATACGGGCAACCAAACTGGCCCATTGTCTTGTTTTTTTGACAGGCCTGCTTGTGGTTCTAAGAAAGAATGCTAGTACTGGAGTACTCTCTCTCTCCCTAAATATAAGGGATTTTATTTGGATGTATGTAAGTTCGTTGTACTAGGATAAGTCACATCCAACCAAAATTCCTTGTATTTAGGGATGGAGGGAGTACTAGAAAAGAGAGCAGATCGATTGATGAGAGGAGTTTTTGCACGATTAGGTCAGAAAGAGGAGATCGATGAAGTGATGAAACAAACACCCAGCTCCAGCGTCGGCTTCTTTCTTCCCCACAGCCCCGCCGCCTCCAATCCTTGTTGAGAAACCCCACTAATAGAAAGAAGGCGCCACTGCCTAGGAAGAAGGTGTGTGCTGGCTGGTAGCCCACCCACCCGCCGGAGAAGACGCGCTGCCGCCTCCTTCCTCCTATCTATCCCCTCCTCACCTACTCCTCAGTTCTAGTAGAGGTTGAAGACGATCTCTTCATTGATTGGATCTAATTGGCAGGTGCGAGGTGACTGAGATTTCGCTAGGTTTCTGTTGCAAAACGCTACCCCTTTTCTAATTAACTATACTTTTTTTTTGCGGGGAATTCTAATTAACTATATTTAGTCTTTCAGGAGGCAAAGGTGAAATTTCGCTAGATTTCATTGGTTTTCCTGCGTGTGTGGCTTTCTTGTATACAAATAAAAATTCAAGATGCCGAATGTGCTCTTCAACATCTTTTCTATTTTCATGGTAGGAAAACACAGCTAGTTGGTCACTTGGTCTCTCTCTCACACCAACATCTTTGTGCACTCCGAATCTGCAGTATGTGATGGAGAGAATTTTATTTTTTTTAAAAAAAACTTTTCCTAAGATCCATGATCATCTAGGTTGAATACTGGTAGTTGCAAGCGAGGATGGACATTCAAGATTATTATCAGTTAACACCAGTACATGGTTAGTCACAAGTCTAAACAATTATGTGCAAGCAATTCATGTATCCACCAAGCAGACCACACTTAACCACTCAATCAACACCCCAGCTAACTAGGTGCCATGTTCTTTTTTACACCATAGATGATACATTATCCACAGATTATTCATTCCATGCTTCCAAAAGTATGATTTCTCCAAAAACATTCTACAATGGCTACATGACTTTTTCTGAGTGATTTATAGTATTTATTTAATCCATACAAGTTCTCATCCGTCAATGATCCATCCATTAAGAACATGGATCACCCGCTGAATCCCTATTAAAGGTGAGGCTACAATTTGTAGAAAGTGTGAAAGTGATGGAGTTCTGTTTGATTGTTCCTCCATCTTATGTCGCAGTTCTATCTGATATTGTATTTCTGTTGCTGAGCGGAAGCCTACTATTTAATTGGCCTTATATACTCTTTATAAATCAGTTCCTTGCAGACTAGGTTTGAAAAAAGCACCTAATGTTTTCTTAAAAACACTGGAGGTAAATAGAACCTGCTATCATGTTGAGTTGGTAACTATGATCGTTGGGCTCATGGTCTATAGGGATCATTCAGTGTGGACATGATCAGTTGTTAGCATCACAATTGCACAAGATCTCTACGTATAATATAATTTGACCAATTCCATACATTCAGTCATACAAGAAGTTGTTTGTATGGATAATTTATTAGAAAACATTAGGAAAATATGGTGCTATTCTTGCTGAGAAACATACCTGGGTTAAAATCTCGTGTCCTAGCTCGGACCAGTAGCTGCAACTGCATGAATAGCTTCCTATCGGTATTGCTTGGATGTTGGAAAACATCAGAACAATGAATGCAAACAAACTCTTAACAAAATCTGAATTCTCCCTGAAAATTATTAGCCAGTCCCAGATTATTGCTTATTTCTTTCTTTCATTCTATTTAATGAAACTTATTCTTTCTTTCATTATGCATATATAGATTATATTAGAGATGCTGGAATAATAGGTGGGCATGGAAAACCTGCTACTGAAGATGTCCTTGTAAACATCCTCCATCGTCTTGCACCACGCTGCCTTGCAATTTCTCGATGTGTTTGCAAGCCTTGGCGCACCATCATCGATGCTCGTTGCCTGCTGCGTGTGGACCTCCTTCCACACTTGGTGGGTGGCATATTCATCAACTTCCATGACCTAATCTTGTCTGAGTTCATCTCCCGCCCCTCGATAGGCCCCACGATATCCGGCAACTTTAACTATTTGCCTCACAACTCCATAGTTAGGGACCACTGCAATGGGCTTCTCTTGCTTGATGGCTATGCGGATTACCCGGCTACACGACAGTATTATGTGGTTAACCCGGCCACACGACAGTGGGTACAATTGCCCCCATGCCCAAGTTCGCATCCAGGGATGTACAGTGAGAGCACGGAGTACCTTGTCTTTGACCCCGGATTGTCATCACAGTTTGAGGTATTTGTAATCCCCTATGCTCGTGTCATGCCCTATGCTTCTGTACTTCATCGCAATATTCAATTAGACCCCATGATAGAGAAAATAGAATGGCCACCATCGCCATGCATCCTGCATGTTTTCTCATCAAGGACAAAGCAATGGGAGGAGAGGTCGTTTGTTCGAGAAGGGGAGGCTGCAGGAACTTTGGCCAAGATACGACCAAATTTTCCACATTTTCTGCAGAACGCAGTCTACTGGCGAGGAGTACTTTATGTACGTTGCCAAACCAATGCTGTTATGACGTATACACACTAATAAGTGATATCATTAATTTCTTATGCTATTCAAATTTCTGTGTATTAACATATCTTAGTTTACCATTATTTGCAGAATATCACTGTCTGGTAAGTACCAAATAATTAAACCACCTTAGTCACCTTTGGATATTGGAGATATGGATGATTCAAATATATATCTGGGACGATCACAGAAGGGGATTTACTGTACATTTGTTGATAATCCATGCGGGGTATATATTCTTGATGAATCATATGGCAAAATGGAGTGGGTGCTGAAGCATAGAATTTGCTATGTGCCTAGACAGGAATTTCATCAAATTGGACCCTGGACCTTACAAGATATCAACTTTTATGAACATATTGGTCATTCTGAATATGATAACAGTGAAGCAATAGAGGAGCAAAAATTTGAGTGGGACTCTGACAATGATAATGTCATCGATATTAACAATAGGAGTAATTTGACTGGTTATGTAACAATCCTTGGATTCCATCCATACAAGGAGGTTGTGTTCTTGAGCCACACATTGACCCGTGGACTGGCATACCACTTAAACACCAGAAAGGTCCAAGACATGGGCAACATTCGCCCAAAATATTATGGAACTGATATGGGCATCCAGCCATTTATAGAAGGGTCTTTTCCATACACACCATGGTTGGGAGAATTTCCAGAGGACAATTAATTTTGAATCTCATCTTGCCTTACAATGTGATGCAAGGCATATTGGTATTCACTAGTCAGAACAATATATCGCAAGCCATAAAATTCCTTTATGGGGCCCGTATCAGTTAGCTTCTCAGATTAATTTATCCGCCAGCCGAATACTCCATGTGTGTAAAGTAAGAGACCAGTTATTGTTGCCAGACAAACAGCAACGCCGCCCGTTACAAAAATCAGTGTATGCTTGCTTACCTGAGCCATTGGATACTTTAGCTAAAACAGAACGTACTGTTTGTGATTGTATGTGTTGCAAAACTAATGACATGGCTCGCATTGTCTGTTTTGATTGTTTTTTTTTTCACAAAAGCCATGGGTGCTCAGCTCGTGTGACACCCCAGTTTCCATCACCGTCTCTGATTCAGATATTATTATTCATCCGTGTAAAATACAGGGCAAAGCTTTTTTTTTTTTGAGAAACAATACAGAGCAAAGCTAGATCTAGCAACACAGTCACAGAGATAAGTCACAAAAAAAAAACACAGTCCGGTATTTCAATGTATGTCTTTACTATATCTATACCATAAAAATAAGGTGTTTTTATAGTCTTGTTGGTACGTCGCGTAGAGTCCGTGATAGAAATTGATAGTGTTTCTGGTCACGCTGCCCATCATCGTGCGCCCGCGACTTGTAGATCGGATTTAGGCCCACGTCGCGTCAAGATCAGTTTCGTAATGCCTTCAGTGTGAGCACCTGTACATTGTGTCTGCTCAACGTCTCTGCCTGGTGACTTGTGTGCACGGGTTTCATCAACAAGACCATCGGCCAAACGAGCGGTGGCGGCATCCTGGCCAGGATGGGGCGTGGGCGTGATCAACGGCCACCAAGGGCAGAGGCTCCGTCAAAATGCATCCAGATTGTATGGTGTACTGTGGGGGGCTTGGTTGTATGGTTGGAAGGCCAACGAGCGGAATTAGCAAGGCGTCACAAGGACACGAAAGATAGGATGAATTTCGTCTACTTCAGGTGATTCTTGTTAGGTCATATCAAAATGTTTTGCTGACTGTTGTAGTTTAGATTAGGCTATAAAAGAAGTAAATTCAAGAAAATTTTTAATACAGAGAAAACTATAGTAAGGATTATAACATAATAATCTTTGGATCGAGATTTGAAGGTTTTTAATGTCATTTTACGTGAAACAGTTCATCAATTACTAGAAATTGAATGGGGTGATATTTTAAAATCGGTTTTGAAAAAGCCTATGACAAAGTCAAGTGGCCTTCTATTACAAACTCTTCGTATGAAAGGTTTCTCGCCCAAATGGATTTCTTGGGTGGACTCCTTCATTTCTGGAGGAAGTGTTGCAGTAAAGGTCAATGATAATGTTGGTCATTTCTTTCAAACAAAGAAAGGAGTATGGCAAGGCGATCCTGTATCACCTACTTTATTCAACGTTATTGCAGACATGCTGACTGTTCTAATCAATAGAGCCAAAGCAACTGGGCAAGTTGCAGGAGTAGTACCGCATCTCAATGATGGTGGTCTTTCTATCCTGCAATATACTGATGATACGGTTCTCTTTATGGATCATGATTTGGAGAAAGCCTATAATTTGAAACTATTATTCTATACTTTTGAGCAATTATCCGGTCTTAAGATTAATTTCAATAAAAATTAATTGTATTGCTTTGGCGAAGCTAAAATTTTTGAGAATCAATACACTGAGCTCTTTGGATGTTCTATAGGCAAATTTCCATATCGGTATTTGGGCATACCTATATATTATAGGAAGCTAAGAAATACATATTGGAAAGGGGTGGAGGAACTTTTTGAGAAAAGGCTCAGTAGTTGGCAAGGTAAACTCCTGTCCACCGGAGGACGACTAACATTGATTAATTCAGTGCTTAGCAGCCTCCCGATGTACATGTCATATTTTTTTGCTATCCCAAGGGGATAATTAAACTACTTAAGCTCTAGGTTCTTCTGGCAGAGTGATGGTCAAAAAAAAAAGTATCGCTTGGCTAAATGGAACGTAATGTGCTGCCCCAAAGAACAAGGGGACTAGGAATTCATGACCTAGACATAAAGAATACAACTTTACTCAGTAAGTGACTATTCAAGCTGCTTACTACAGATGGTATTTGACAACAACTGATTCGGAACAAATATTTGGGTAATAAACCACTTTCGCAAGCTCAATGAAAGGCTTGGGACTCAGATTTTTGGGCTAGCCTCGTGAAGGTAAAATTGATTTTCTTCGTTTTGGGTCCTTGATTATCAAGATGACTCCCAAGTTAGGTTCTTGGAAGACAAGTGGTTGGGAAATTCAACACTAAGAGATCAATATCCTTGCCTCTACAATATTGTTAGGCATAAACAAATGAGTGGTTGGGAAATTCAACACTAAGAGATCAATATCCTTGCCTCTACAATATTGTTAGGCATAAACAAATGACTGTCGCAGAAGTCTTCCAAACCAACCTCCTAAACTTTTCATGGAGAAGAGACCTAGTAGGATCAAAATTGGTGGCATGGAATAATTTATTACCACGCATCGCCAATATACAATTAAGTGAAGAGCAAGATGAATTTCGATGGAACCTAACCCCAAATGGGGAGTTTTCTATGAAATCTCATTATCTTGCTTCGTTCACAGTGATGTTCCGAACGTAAACAAGGGTCTTTAGAAACTAAAAATCCCAAAGTGAAGATTTTCCTATGGTATTTACATCGTGGAGTATTGACAAAGGTATAGCCAAACGAAACTAACAAGTTAGTAAGAATTGTTGTTTTTGTCACAAAGAGGAGACGATTAGACATCTTTTCAATGAATGCTGCCTTGCAAATTCTGTTTCATCTATCATTCAAGTTGTCAAGGTTACGGATAAGACATACCTCATCCTCTATGACTAATGGAATATACGAGTATGGTATACCCATCGTATACGGTTTATTCCCATAAACAAACAAGGAAGTCTATTAAGGATAAAGAGAGATATCTTCCCGGGCCTGGTGATTACGTAGTCCTACTCAGAGAGGATTAGGTCTTTCCGGATATCGTATTGGGTTCTATGTCTTTGAGTCTTACTTGGAGACACACGTAACCTACAGTATAAAAGGCGGAACCCTGGAGGGGCTTAGGACATCGAATCATACCACCAGCAAATCCATCAGAATCGACAAAGCCAAAGTAGCCAGAAGCCAAATCGTCGACATATCTAGTCGACCCTTCCAACTACTATCTTGTCGACATCGTTAAGATCCATATATACTCTGTACTCCACAAGATCAATCCCATATAAACTGGAGTAGGGTATAAACCAGTATAAAAATCCCTGTCCCTATGTTTGTACAATGTCGTTTGGTGTAGATCCTTACACCAACGTACCCCAATACCCTATTTATCCGGTCTACGGGTATCATCCGTCAATAGTGGCGCGCTAGGTAGGGGAACTTGGTGTTTAAGGTTCAGCAGACATGACTTCAAGGCATCCCGACAACGGCCTCTACATCAGCCTCACCCTAGGATCTTCAATCTCGACACCGCTGGTATGGGCTTGCGTCGGATCTATCATCTTCCCGATTTACGTCCCTCTGTCCATCTCGTCTAGCCTAGTCTCTAGTTTAGAGAACAACGTCGCGACAATATACCCTCCTGCCCTGGCAAAGAAGGGAACAGCGACTACAGCTACCACCCGGGGGCGACCTCAATGTTGACGGTCGTTATCGACTAATTTCGACCGTCAGTTTAACTAAAATTGGGGAGAACTAGCTATGCTTACAATGCATATTTATTTTAGAATAATCTATTTCCACTTGTACTTGTAAATATTTGCTTGTAGGGATAATAAATCAAAATGGAGAAGATAATATGGAGGAAATCTCACTCTTAAGCAAGCTTGAGGATGAGAGAGCCACCTGGCATGTGTAACCGCCAAGAAACCTGTCATCGCACCTCAAACCGTCATGAGGGCCCACCTGTCAGAGACCCATCCAAAGGAGAAGTTGGTGGGAGACCAGGCTGGCGAACCACTCCTATCGCCATTCCCACCGACCTTCCACATGGACGTTCCAGATCACCTCCTGATGTCGGTTCCAAAGGGCATGATGGTCATTTTCCATCAAAAGTTGCCGCCATCAAGCCCTATATAAGGAGGACCTCACTCACTTCTCCAACACACACTCAAGCAAAGCTCTTAGCTACTCTATAAAAGTTAATTAGTATTAGTATAGTGCTAGTGGAGTAGAGTTAGTATAGTTCCAAGTCCAGTGGAGGATTCGGGAAGTTCGGTAAAGTTCTATAGCTTTTCCTTTCTTCTTTGTAAGACTTCCAGTTATTAATATATTATTCTTCTTTATACAAGTTTGGTGTTCTATTCTAATCATAGAATATGAGTGCCTTACTTAGTTTATACATGATTAGTATAATCTGTGTAGCTAAATCTTTTGGGATTTGCATTGATGCTAGTATAATGTCTAACTACCGGGTCATTAGTCTGCTTAGGCTAGGCCAAGAGCTATGGCTTCGGGACTTAGTTGCTCTACTTCAGTTGCAAGACTATAGAGTAATAAGTAATAATTTAAGCATGGGGCTTAGGTTACCACTTATCATTATTTGGGCGTATATACTCTGAGTGATTTGTAGACCGCTGATGGTGACAGCTCAGTACGGGAGTCCCCCCGCAGTATATATTCCTACATAGAAATTCCTTGGGTTGGATACACCTCCGTATCTCGCTTCGGTTGGATGGCTATGACAGGTTGTCGTAAGGAACTCGGCAACCCGTGGTAGTCTTGCGATGCATCAGGAGGGCATAGCTATGCTTAGGCCTAGTTATGTTGTATTGTTAAACGGGTTATGCTACATAGTGTATACTAATTAGAATAGACTAAAGTCTTGTATACTAGAAGTATAGGAAAGAAACTTGACTAATCTACATACACTTAGCTTAATTTAGGAATTATATGAGTTAGCTAGTCCTTAGCTATGTGTCAACCTACCCTTGCTATAAACTTACCCCTGCATAGACTGTAACGTATACAGGTACATATAATTTATCGGTATAGTTTCATTCTTATAAATCTTCCCTTGGGATTAAATACGATACCTTGGAATACTTCCGGGTGAAATGCTACAATGGTATATCCGTGCGCTTGCGGGTGTATTTCTGTAAACCATAGATTACCGTTGATATTTTGATCCGCCGTTGCTAGGAATAAAATTTCCAGGGATGACGATAAGAAATAACAATACTCAAGCAGCCAATTTCCGATCTCACAATTCGGATCCGACGCCGAAAGGATCCCTCGAAGGAAACTCCGACACCCAACGGAGAAGCAAGATCCGGAGCTAGCTCAAAGTGCACTCGAGGATGCCAAAACTGAACTACATGAGGAAAAAGATCGTAAGGGGGGAAACGCAAGGTGATAACCGACAGTGATCCGCCTTGTCTTTTGGATCCCCATAGCGACAGTCCTCAATGACAATGGTGCCCGATACATAAAACCAAATCCCATACACTGGAAGAGTGCCACATCTTCAGAAGGGCGTTGGCACGGAAACAAGCGGTGGAGGAGGAAGAGACGCATACCGACGAAGCAGGAATCAACATCCACTCTTCCAATAACGCACCGGCATGCGACCCCTGCGTCTCACACATCTTTGGCGGTTCTACATCGAATTTCTCAAAGAGAGAGTACAAGAAGGCAGAATGCGAAGTCTGTTCAGTCACGCAGGGAGGAACAACCAGGATGAAGTGGTCACGACACAAGATTTAGTTCTCGGAAGCTGACCATTCGACAACCTCCACAACGCCAGGGAGATACCCAATAGTGGTCGAGCCCACTATTCAGAATATTACAGTTGCCCGCGTACTCGTCGACGGCGGCAGTTTGATCAACCTCCTCTTCACCAACACCCTGGATGCAATGGGAATCCCACGAAGCGAGCTGACACCGTCAGATCAACCATTCCATGGGATTATCCCAGAATCTTCGTCAAAACCACTAGGCAAAATCACACTAGCCGTCACCTTCGGCCAGGCCGACGTCCGAACGGAACAAATCACCTTCGATGTCGCCAAATTCAATACGACATATAACGCTATCTTAGGAAGAACTGCACTCGCGAAGTTTATGGCAGCTTCCCACTATGCGTACCAATTACTCAAGATGCCAGGACCAAAGGGGATAATCACTGTTCAGGGGAACGCGAAGCTCGCAGTGCAATGTGACAAGCGGAGCCTCGAAATGGTCGAGCACACTCCCACCATAGCCGCCACAGTTGAGCTACCCAACAAAGTGAGCAAACCCAACAAAGCCCCACGACCTGATGGAGCGACCAAAATAGTTTCGTTGGCTAGTACGAACCCCGACAAAATAGTCAGAATCGGGGTGGGGTCGTTGGATCCCAAATAGGAACTCGAGCTCATCACCTTCCTCCACGATAACACGGACATCTTCGCCTAGCAAACGTCCGACATGCCAGGGGTCCCCAGGGATGTGATAGAGCACAAACTCATGGTGCGACCGGATGTAAAACTAGTCAAATAGAAGCTGTGCAGATTTTGCACCATGCCGGAAGCATGCGATACAAGAAGAACTCGATAAGCTACTCAAAGCAGGCTTGGTCCTCAAGGCCAATGGAAAGTGGAGAATGTGCGTAGACTTCACTAACCTCAATAAAGCGTGCCCAAAAGATCACTTCCCTCTGCCTCGAATAGACTAGTTGGTGGACTCTACAGCTGGATGCGAACTCCTTAGCTTTCTAGACGCCTATTCGGGCTACCACCAGATCAGCATGGCCAAAGAGGATGAGGAGAAGACGACATTCATAACACCTTTTTGAGTTTTTGCTACACCAAAATGCCCTTCGGGCTCATAAGTGCAGGCAATAAGTACCAGCGTGAGATCCAAGGAGTCCTCGGTGATCAAATAGGGGCACACTCATACACGACCTGTGGGAAACTTTCGACAACCTTCTATGAGATCGACTGAAGTTGAACCCGGAGAAAGGTACTTTTGGAGTATGATCGGGAAAACTACTCGGTTTCCTCTTCTCTGGAAGGGGCATTGAGGCCAACCCTGAGAAAATCTGTGGACACCCCGAGTATTATACCATCCAGTGTCCAACGCGACCACCACAAACTATTGGAGAAGTGGGATCCATACACGCATAAATAGCCACCCGTCCTCAATGTGTCCATGATCGCGGTTGACAACCTTCTGTTATAATAACCGGAATGTCGAGTAGTGAGCGCAAGACATAACCGTAAGATAGCTTGCCAGTCCACTCCGTCATATGCCTGTCAACCACTCGAAGGTGGCGACCAAAAGCATACCCCAGTGACTCTATCCAAAGTGCTATCCCCGATTATCTCAAGCGATCAAAACCCGTTACTCATGCTTAGCTAGTCCCCAGGAATGCGACTAGCCTCACACTTTCATCGCAAGCAATTAATAAACATAGCAAGTACCATAATAGGGTTAAAGTGCAGCGAGGTACATGGCACAAAATAGGGTCCGAGGTCCCAACATACAACACATAAATATTGCAGCGGAAGTCTCATCTAGAGTTCATAAGCAAAAGATAAAACCGGTGGTGCCAAACCCCACTAGGGCAACTGACCGGGCAAGAGCCAAGCTGCAAGAACTAGTCATTGCCCTCACCGCCCATGGGAGCACAATGACCACATAAGAAACACAGCTCAACGTCGGGATCCTCACCTGAAAATGCAGCCAACGGGTTAAGTACAAAATTGTACTTGCAAGTCTTACCCAAACTCATAAATATACAAGAGGAGAGAGAGGTATGCATGATTCTACCTTAAAGTGTGGCTCTAGGTTCAATATTTGCATAAAGCTAATTTTAGTGGGCAAATAACAAGTTAAACACAACTGGAAAAGCACAAATAGTAACATTTTAATTTATGGACAGCAAGCATATAAATCTGAAACTGACAAGTAAATGAGCACAACCGGTGCTCTCATCATCAACAATGGGCAACCATTGCCCAAACCAATATGGCACAACATGCCAACATCACCATCAAACATAAACCCATCCATATTAATCCACATTTGATGCTAACATGAGTAAGATACACATTAAGCAATGTCCATAACCGAGGACGCGGCTATTCAAATAGATTATACTCTGATAAGAGGTGTACAACGGGACCCACACGAAATGAACAAGGATCAAAGCTACACACCCCGTCGAGTGTGTTACGCGAGTGATACAAGCTCATTACATGCCTTTCCTAATCCCACCCCAACTACCTATACCATGCCGGGGTTCCCGACGACTCAGTCATGTGCGTGTGTGGTGTGACCAAGGCGGGCGCGCCACGCGGGAGGCACCCCCGGCCAACATAGGCACCCGAGGCCCTCCAAAGGGCTACCTGCCCTCACGTCTCTCCAACGTGGTATAAATGATCACAGTAGAACTAGTAAAGGACAAGCCGGTCCCAAATAAGGCATGTGGTAAGTACGAAGGGTGCTTGAATAGATGTTAAAATGTTCGGTCCTTAATGACCCAGACGGGGCTACTTGCATCAGAGGAAAACCAACCTCCCTTCATCGCCCTATCACCCGTCCAAGTCCAACATATTTCATCAACCATTATTTAGTGGAAGTGCTCAAGTTTTATGCCCATTACTACAAGTTGTCTATATATCACAAATAATAGTACTGTCCATCCTTAATTCTATTAGCACTAAGCATGGCTAAGCATGAATGAAGTAAACATCCCAAATATTCCCATCCAGGGGTAATGAACTATAAGGACAGCAATATACAAGGAAATAAATGCATAACCAAGATCTATCCACATACCCAAATCCAACAATATTAATAAGTAGCCAACCCATGCATATATATATATATATATATATATTGCAAACAAAACATTTTTAGAGAAAGCATAGGTTCTATATGCTTGGGTGCTTGCCTTGCTGCTGAGATGGATCACCCTCAACCTCAGGGTACTGCTCGTCACACTCTGGAACGTCCAAATCTATCGAAAAAAAGCAATATGCAAATAAGAACCAAATAAATATGTGCATGCAACATGATCAGCAACTCAAGGCAAAAATACAGCAGGTAGGAGGTGTACTAAAGCTATTTTTGGTTAAAGAATTAGCATGCTTTCAGCCATGGTTTAGGAGCTACAAAAATGACAAGCTATGCAAGCTGAAAAATGGCAGCTCTGAAAATAATTCAGACCTTCCCTAGGGCATTAATAGCAACCTGCATTTCAAATAAAGATTTTACAAATGTGATTATTCTTAGCTGAAAGAGCACACAACAATGTTTTTTTAAAAAAATATCACACTGGATTTTACGATAGGAATAATTTATTATGGATTTTCTAGTAGCTAGGTGATCAAAAGGCACAAATAAATTATTCGCAGTTTTAGAGCCAAAACCAGCACATAAGTGCTAAGTTTTTACCTTGAAACAATAAAGAGCACACTTCTATGGGTTCATAGAAATTTTGATCAACCAAAAAGGATTACATAAAAATTTTCTACATGGTTCTGAAGTTAACACAAGAGGAGGTCATTTGCTAATAAAATTCTGAATGGATAATGAGAATATTGCTGAAATCAGCAACACTTGAGATTGCTTAAGATGGTGCTACCCCACAACCGAGCATGCAAGTGGAACTAAAACACAAGGATACAACTGACCAAGGTGATGCACAGTAGGATTAGAGCAAACACCCATATAGAAGCAGATCTATCGTTCAAGAAAAATTGGTGCTAGGTTGATAGGAATAAACTAAACACAATTCAAGTAGGGGGTTGCTGGTAGATCAAGGTAGAACATGCCACGGCCTTGTTGCTAAACTAAGAACATATTGCAGGCAATGGCAAGGTTAAAACTCACCTATAGATACAATTAAAATGGAGATTGGGGCTGCTTCCACCGAAATCAAAAGAGATTAACACCGGATGAGCTACAGCCACCTCCTAGCTGCAATAATGGAGGTGGATGACCTGTTGATTGTTGCTATAGATGTTCAACATGAAGGGAACTAAAAAAAATGCACCATGGATGGCAAGGAAGCTCACCAAATGGAGGGAAACAAAGTCATGTTGCTGCTACAACCATGCAGGATGAAACCACCACTCTCTTCTCCTATTTCGATCTCCCACAACTCTCCATGCATGTGCAAGATGTTGGTATGGATGGAAAGCTTGGATGATGGGGATTGTTGTGGTCTAACATGCAGAGCTTGAGTTTGGGTTCTTAGATGGGATTTGGGGAGAAGTGAGCTGGGAGCTCAGCTTGAGAAGGAAAAGAAAGAACAAGCAAGGGAAGTGAAAGGGGAGGAAGAAGAAGGGGTTTTCCTCTGCCCACCTTATGTCCTGAGGTGGGAAGAACGCCCAAGGGTGGGTTTTGAGCTAAAGAGGCACCCAAGGTCAGTGACAAGTGGGCCCAAGTCGTGGTGGTCTAGGAGGTAAGGGCTGGAATAGAGGTGGAACAAGAATTTGGGCAAATTTCAGGAATTTTCAGCAATTTTACACCTCTTCTACTATGACACTCAGTTAGTTCAAGAAATAATAGTGATAGAATTTTATCCTTTGGTGTGGAGATAGACCTGGACACCTAGTTTCCATTTTTCAAAGTTTCACTCAAAAATTCAAAATATTTTAATTCTGGTGAAAAGATGAAATTGGTTAGGCTGAAAGTTGGTTTGAATTTTTAGGAGGCCTAAACAGAGAGTAGAAATTCCATAAAATTTATATTTGTTGGTGATAAATAAACTAGTATTTGAATAAATTATTATACATGTACACTTATGTTCAAGTTATTGTTCAAATAGAAGTGGTTTCAATTTTACCGATTAGAGTTAACTTTTGTTATCGCCTATGATTAAAATGCAATATAGTAAATATGAAATCTAAAGGACAACAAATTCACTTCTAAATACCTGGTTATGAACCTAGGGCTGTTACAAAATCAAGCCCATCAAAAATATGAAGTCACCTACAAGACTTAAGGAAGTCTAGAAATTAACTGGGTGCATGGCAGCACTGAGTAGCTTTGTCACGAGGATGGCAGAGCGGGGCCAACCTTTCTTTACCCTGCTCAAAAAACAGGATAGGTTCGAGTGGACACAAGTAGCCAAAGATGTGTTCATCGTGCTCAAACACTACTTGTCAATCCCCCGGTACTGGTCGCTCCCCAACCAAACGAAGACCTTCCCTTATACATTGCTGCAACACCCTATTCAGTAAGCACGGTCATCATTGTCGGAAGGGAGAAAGTGCACACCTAGTGTACTATGTCAGTGAGGCCCTCCACGACACCAAGACACGTTATCCACAGATCCAGAAACTTCTCTATGTTGTGGTCATGACATCGCGGAAGCTACGTCACTACTTCCAGGCCCACAAAGTGACGGTCGTCTCATCCTTTCCCCTGGGAGAAGTCGTCAGGAATAAAGATATCATCGGTAGAATTGCGAAGTGGGTCGTAGAACTCTGCCAGTTCGATGTCCACTTCATACTGAGAACAACCATCAAATCATAAGTTGTCGCTAACTTTGTAGCTGACTGGACCATCCCCAAAAATAGACCAGTTAGCCAGACGGATAATGAGACTTGGACCATGGCGTTCGATGGCGCACTCAATAGCCAGGGTGTAGGAGCAGGCTTCATTCTCACATCTCCTACAGGGGATAAGTTCAAGCACACAATACACCTCGACTTCAGGGCCACGAACAACACAGCCGAGTACGAGGGCCTCCTCGCAGGAATTCGAGCAGCAGCAGCACTTGGCGTGAAGCGGCTAATAGTCAAAGGAGATTCTGAGCTAGTCGCTAATCAAGTGCGTAAACATTACAAATACTCTAATCCTGAGTTGACCAACTATCTCGCTAAAGTCCGATGGCATCGAAGTGTGACATGTGTATCATAAGGATAACGTCAAACCCGACAATTTAGCTAGGCGTGCATCACGAATTGAACCCCTCGAACCAGGAGTATTCCTCGACGTGCTGACAAAGCCATCGGTAAAGGAATCCCATGAAGAGGAAACTCCGACATCGGCCAATGTCTTGGAAGCTGTGACGACTAATGTTGGTATTTCTTACGGTCATAGATAAATTCGCAAGCGCACGGAATACCGCTGCAGCACTTCACTCGGGAGTATAAGTCCAAGGTATCGAATCCACAGGGAACGTGTGTGTCAACTCCTCCTCTGGCTTATCCAAGGACACGAATCTAAGGTCGGCTACGGGTAGAGAGGTTTTACCTAGCAAGAAACAGTGTCTACAGGAAGCTTAACTTTAATCCTAATGAGATACTTCGGGCACTGGCCAGCTCGCTACTCCCAGATGCAACGCTCTACTACACACCCACACAGGGAGGACTACGTGATCTCGAGGGCTGTCACCACCTCTATACTTGCCTCAAACTATCTGTAGGATGTGAAGCAACTACTGAAAATTAATCTACCTAGACACCTCGTCTAAGCAATTAATAACTGCTTAAGTGTTAATTAAGCACCCAAGCAATCACTATAAGTTGGTTGTTTATAATGAACAGTAATCCAGTATTCTACTTAGGAACTAACTGAGATATAAATCTTACTAAGATAAACTTGATACTCATAATGATATTTCTATTAATGATCAGAGTATTCAATAAAGTAAAAGAAGAAGAAGAAGTTACCGACAACTCCGGGACTCCTCCGACGACTTCTACTCTACTCTCTCCCTAATCTTACTAAGATAAACTGAGATATAGTGTACAATAGAGTCTCTTGTAATTCAGCTCAAGCTTCAAGTGTGTGTTCTAAGTGTGGGATGAGAGCTCCTCAAATAGGCTTCAAATGGCGGCAACTCTGATGGGAATTTACCACCATGCCCTCTGGAACCGCCATCAGCAAGTGATCCTGGCCCTCCACGTGGAAGATGGGGGCCAGGTGGCACAACACTGGTTCCACCAAACCAGGCTGGTCGCCAACCGACTTCAGCCTTGGTCAGTCTCTGACAGGTGGGTCCCCATGGCGGTTGTGGATGCGATGATAGTTTGTATGGCGGTTACACCTATCAGGTGGGCCCTCTTATCCCTTGGACTTGCTTGGAAGTGAGGTAAGCTCCATTTAGGATGAATTCTCCCATTTTTGGTATATTATTCCTGCATACAAATATTTCACCAACACTTGTGGAAATGGTTACAAATAACTCCTACCACTAGGTTGGATGTTTTATTATTTTATGCTTATGCAGGCATTGACGGCATAAAATGTGACATTAGTGGCCGTCAACAATTGATAACATTGTCGCCTCCATCAAGAAACCAGAAGACTGGCGGACTCCGCTCATCGACTTCTTGGGCGCCAATAAGCTACCAGAAGATGACGCTCAGGCAGAAAAACTATCCCGTCAGACAAAAATTTATTGTCTAACTGACAATAATCTATATAAAAAGGCCCCGAACGGTGTGTTGCTCAAATGCGTCTCGACTGACGATGGACATCCACGAAGGCATCTGTGGATCACACGCCGATGGGCGAACCCTTGTCGGAAAAGCCTTTCGATAAGGTTTTTTTCGGCCAACCGCCCTCAAAGATGCTTGCGGCATGGTGCGACGATGTGAAGCTTGTCAACTATACAGCAAACACACGAAGATGACAGCACAAGTGCTCCAAACCGTACCCCTCACATGGCCGTTCTCGTGCTGGGGGCTCGACATAATCAGACCAATTCCAAAAGGATGAGGCAACAAATGATTCTTGTTTGTTGCCATTGACAAATTCACAAAGTGGATCGAGGCAGAGCCCACATAAGAGATCAAAGTAGAGAACGCTATCAGATTCATGAAAGGGGTATTCTGTAGATACGGATTACCTCATCGTATCATCACAGCCAATGGTCCTCAGTTCATCAGCGCAGATTTTCAAGACTACTCGATAGAACTAGGGATCAAGATTTGCTATGCTTTAGTTTCCCACCCTCAGAGTAACGGACAAGTCGAACAAGCCAACGGTCTTGTGCTCCAAGGGATCAAGACCCACGTCTACGATAGGCTTATGTCTTATGATACACAATGGGTCGAAGAGCTCACATCCGTCTTATGGGCCATCCACACCACTCCAACTTTGTCCAACAAAGAAACACTGTTCTTTCTCGTGTACGGCTCTGAGGCAGTACTCCCTTTAGAGTTAAGACATCAGAGCACATGAGTCCAAAATTACTCAAATGAGGAACAAGAGGAAAGGCACAACGACTATGTGAATCTTCTCGAAGAACATCGAGAACGAGTTGCCATCCGAGCAGCTGCATACCAGCAGTCCCTAGTCCCTATGCCGATATCAAGAGAAACGTGTTCGAGCCCGCACACTTGCCGTCAGCGATTATGTCCTACGACGAGTTCAATCCCAAGCAGGGAAGAACAAGCTTTCCCCCAAATGGGAGGGACCATACACAGTGGTTCGAGTATTGCGGCCAGACGCTTTCAAAATTGCAGATGGTGAAGGACGCGGATTATCTAATTCTTGGAACATTGATATGTTACGTAACTTTTATGTATAGCTCCAATGTATCCACATCTGTAAGTTCCCTTACAGTTCAATACATATATATATATATATATATATATACCACTACTCGGAGGATTTCTGGCATTCTCAAATCCTGTGTTTTGCCCATATATCCGCCATCACGATAACACCTAACAACCCTTTATGCCGTTTTGACATAGCCTCCGAGGTGCCTATGGGGATCTTGGCTAGGGACGCCCAGAGCTGATAAGGTGATGTCAGATGCTTTAGAGCCATACGACCATGTCAAAATCGGTCATGTCAGAGTGTTCAATTGAGGCGTATTTACCAAGTTGTGTAAATGGAAATTGAGTTTTACAACTTCACGACTGGGGTCTAGGTAAACCAAAGTTTCAACTAGGATGGCTTATTCTAGAGCTTTGTTATCGGGAACACTTTCTCCGACATCAAACTAGGGGCTAGGGAGAATATCCAGCTCACAAAAGCTAGCAACAGCTTATGTCTGAGAAATATTCGTACACAAAACCTTTCGCAAACGATGTAAAATTCAACTTATTACGACGTTTTCCAAACATATGTTGTTATATTACGATATTGGTTGTAGATATTTCTCTTTTCAGGAATACTCCTTGATGTATCATCGTCAGGCATTACTACGAATCCAATAAGAGGAGATAGTGACCTCGATAAACTATTCGGCAAAAAGTAAAAAAGAAAGTCATTGTTTGTACACAAATAAAAGGCCTAATAAGTTTGCTATTACAGTAAGATATCAATGTTGTCAGCTAGAGGGGATATTAATTTACAAGTAATCAACTTGGACAATATGGCTAA